GTATTATTTCACAAACAAAAACTGGCATCTTATTCTTTTCTAAAGAAAAATAAGACTATTTCTAATGCAGATAGTAATTTTTGTACACATATTTTCGTATTAATGTTGACATTATTAGCACAACGCACAAAAAATCCTCACATTCTAACGTACTTTTAGAATAAAGATAACCAAATATATCTATTTAATATTAGAAGAAAAAGTTTCTCCGTGTAGGAATAAAAAATATCGTAAGTAACATGGGAATAAAGGCAGCCAATTTGTTTACGATGATTTTTGTGACACTCGTTCCAGTCTCGGGGCGCCTACGGTGCCCTCGACCTCCACTCGTGGCACAAAAATCACCGTAAACAAATGGCTACCTTTATGGCCTTGTTGCTTAATATACTATTGTTGACGAAAGATTATTTTCTGTATGTAAATTCACTGGTAAGTACGTTTAAATTTGAAAGTTTAAGAAATGAAAAAACTAACCTCAAAATAAAACCCGCTCACAGGGTAAACCCGCTCACTAGCGATTTTACGCTATGAACTCAACTTAAGATGGAGATATTGGTACTGTGAATAGTACTTAACATTTAATTTATATTAACGAACTTTCGTTTACTTTCATGAATTAAGCATAGAATCAGAGGCGATCAAATGTTTTTAGAGGTTTCAGAAAAAAACGTTTTTTGGATTTTTAAGTTTTTCGATCATTATTTCTGAGTCTTAATTTATCTGGCAAATTTTTTTTTTGCTATTGGATGTCCTTTTTCGAAGTACGTATACAGTTGTGTGGTTCTTATTTTGTCGATGTTTCCAAATTATCGGTCTCACCCCAAAAAATTAATCAAGGTATAAAAAAAAATTTTCCTCAAAGTTTGAAGCAAATCAAACAATATTAACACGTGCCTCTAGTCGACTGAAATTTTAAATGGAAAATACATGTAATTTTTCCTGGAAATCACAGAAAAAAATTTGTAGCTTATACAAATTTATTTCAAATTTTCTAACGTTGGGTGCTTTTAGTACATGATAAGAGGTAAAACATCCAATTATTTAAAATATTTTGAAAGTATTTGCTTCATATATAAGCTTGATGAATATGCCGCTATCACAGTAAACAGGACTAGTATATTAACCCTCAGATGCACACATTTTTTTATTCATTTAAATTTGACGAAACTTGGTACTTGGGGGGTTTTTCGGGACGCTGATTACGAATCTGAGGTCAGTTTAACCTTCGCGCTACCGGATGTCCACCCAAGGTGGCCAACTAATACAAAATGTTGTATATCTGGTCGAATTTTGTATCAATCGAATCGCCATTTTAACTCACTGAACAAAATTTTATCTACTTTCGAAAGAAACAAAAATAAATTTTTTTACATTTCTTCTTGTTTATTTATAACAATTAAAAAAGTATGTACGAGAATACTAAAAATTGACCGGGTGTTTTTTTTATATTGCAAAAAAATAAAAATAAAATCATTAAACTTATACAGTAAAATTGTTTTATATCAATAAATAAAATATATTATGATGTTATAATACATTTTTTATTTGTTTAAACAAATTATTGTTGTTATTTACCAACTTTTTCCAGAATGCACCTAGAACGTTGCAGTTTTTTCCTAATTTTGCAATTTACTAAATCTTATATGACTACAGATAAAGAATAAAAATTTGATTATTATTTAAACAATTTTTAAACAAATTATTGTTGTTATTTACCAACTTTTCCCAAAATGCACCTAGAAAGTTGCAGTTTTTTTCCTAATTTTGCAATTTACTAAATCTTATTTGATTACTGATAAAGAATAAAAATTGAACTATTGTTTAAACAATTTTTAAACAAATTCTTTACAATATTGTCACTGTAATTTTATAAATTAATACTGTGTTTTCAAATTTTTCAAAAATATTACACATGATCAAGTTGCGTACAGTACAACTGTGCAAAAGAACAATTAATGTCATAGATAGGAAAATTTATACAAATTGTTAACAATATTTATTTTTATAACAATAAATTTTATCATTTTGGCTTATAATTGATAGTTGATTCAAAAGAACAAAATTGTTTAAATGCTCATTAATATAAGTATAAAAAATAAAAGGTACTTTTTTAACAAACTACGAAAATGTGTAAATTAGAAAAAAAAATTCAACCTTGTAGGTTCATTTTGTAAACAGTTGGAAAGTAACAACAATAATTTGTTTAAAAATTGTTTAAACAATAGTTAAATTTTTATTCTTTATCAGTAATTAGAATAAGATTTAGTTAATTGCAAAATTAAGAAAAAACTGCAACTTTCTAGGTGCATTTTGGGAAAAGTTGGTAAATAACAACAATAATTTGTTTAAAAATTGTTTAAAAAATAGTTCAATTTTTATTCTTTATCTGTAATCATATAAGATTTAATAAATTGCAAAATTAGGAAAACACTGCAACTTTCTAGGTGCATTCTGGAAAAAGTTGGTAAATAACAACAATAATTTGTTTAAAAATTGTTTAAAAAATAGTTCAATTTTTATTCAATTTCTATTTTTTATCTGTAATCATATAAGATTTAGTAAATTGCAAAATTAGGAAAAAACTGCAGCTTTCTAGGTGTATTCTAGAAAAAGGTGGTAAATAATAACAATAATTTGTTTAAATAATTTTTTAATAATAAAACATAAATGTTTTATGTCATAAATGTCATAAAACATTATTAAAATGCAGTATCTGTATTAACACAAAATTATATACAAAACGTTTGATGAATTTTAATCGTTTTGGGAACATAAAAGTAAAATAGCGTTTAACCACCCCGGGTGGCCGTCCGGTAGTCCGCGTATACAAAAATCTTTGGTAGCGCGAAGGTTAAAAAAATTCAAAATGGCAGATCCAATATGGCGGACATAAAAAATAAAAAATCGTTCAATGTTGGAGCCAATATGGCGGATATTCTTGCTCGTTTTAGCGTTACCCGGAACTAACAGCGAGGAAGTGACGAGATTTTAGTTCCATTTTTTTTATTTTTATTTTGTTTTTTTTGTGATTAAAGAAATTCGTGAAATTGTGGCACTTTATGATTCACCAACTCTTCTAAGATTTTCAATCGAAAATTTTGCAATGCCATAGAAGGATAAGTATTTATGCGATTTAGCAGAGAGAAAATGTTTTCTGGAATTTCATATAAATAGTTGAGTAAAATATCCTTCTTAGTTTTAATATGTGCCATAGAAAACAGACTACAAGCAAAGAAAAATGCAAAAGAAATTTAAAAAAATACAACAAAATGTAAAAAAATAAAACCTTAGATTCGTAATCAAGATTCCAAAAACCTCCGAGTACTGAGTTTCAGTCGAATTGAACGACTTTTTATTTTTTTTCCGCCATTTTTAAATTGACCTCAGACTTGTAATCAGCGTCCCGAAAAACTTCCCGAGTACCGAGTTTCGTCAAATTTAAATAAATAAGAAAATGTGTAAAAATTATTTTACCATGGTTAAAAAGTCGAGTAAAAAAAGGAAATCTAACCAGAACAGTAAAAGTTATCAATTTAAGGCAATAGTCTCCTTCCCAGGTGCGAATTTAGGTTGGCCGCCAGAGTTTGAAGGTTGGCCCAAGGTTGGCCTAACTTTGGCAACCGAAGTTTTGGTTGCCAGAGTTTGCCCAACATTGGCAAGTACTAGTGACCACAGTTGGCCCGACTTTGCAAGCCAACCATTAAATGCAGAGTTTAACCAACCGTCGGGACAACTTTGACGACAAAGGTTGGCACAACTCATCCAAACGTAGTTTAAAAGACTTTCAGTTTCGGTTGGCCCAACTCTGGGCCACGGTTGGCCCGACGGTTGGCAAAACTCAAGAAAGCAGTATAATTGACTTATAGTTTTTTGGTCGGCCGAACTCTAAGCCACGGTTGGCCCAACGGTTGGCAAAATTCTAGAAACGCAGTTTCATTGACTTAAACTTTCTTGGTCGGCCAAACTCTGGGCCACGGTTGGCCCGACGGTAGGCAAAACTTTGTGAAACGCAGTTTAATTGACTTACATTATTTTGGTCGGCTGAACTCTGGGCCACGGTTGGCCCGACGGTTGGCAAAACTATGTCAAATGCAGTTTAAATGACTTAAACTTTCTTGGTCGGCCAAACTCTGGGCCACGGTTGGCCCGACGGTTGGCAAAACTTTGTGAAACGCAGTTTAATTGACTTACATTATTTTGGTCGGCCGAACTCTGGGCCACGGTTGGCCCGACGGTTGGCAAAACTATGTCAAATGCAGTTTAAATGACTTAAACTTTCTTGGTCGGCCGAACTCTGGGCCACGGTTGGCCCAACGGTTGGCAAAACTCTGTGAAACGCAGTTTAATTGACTTGATTTTTATTGGTTGGCCGAACTCTGGGCCACGGTTGGCCCAACGGTTGGCAAAACTTTGTCAAATGCAGTTTAAATGACTTAAACTTTCTTGGTCGGACGAACTCTGGGCCACGGTTGGCCCAACGGTTGGCAAAACTCTGTGAAACGCAGTTTAATTGACTTGATTTTTATTGGTTGGCCGAACTCTGGGCCACGGTTGGCCCGACGGTTGGCAAAACTATGTCAAATGCAGTTTAAATGACTTAAACTTTCTTGGTCGGCCGAACTTTGGGCCACGGTTGGCCCAACGGTTGGCAAAACTCTGTAAAACGCAGTTTAATTGACTTGATTTTTATTGGTTGGCCGAACTCTGGGCCACGGTTGGCCCAACAGTTGGCAAAACTTTGTCAAATGCAGTTTAAATGGCTGAAAATTTCTTAGTCGGCCGAACTCTGGGCCACGGTTGGCCCGACGGTTGGCAAAACTATGTCAAATGCAGTTTAAATGACTTAAAATTTCTTGGTTGGCCGAACTTTGGGCCACGGTTGGCCCGACGGTGGGAAAAACTTTGTGAAACGCAGTTTAATTGACTTGATTTCTCTTGGTTGGCCGAACTCTGGGCTTTGATTGATTTGATTTGATTTGGATTTGGTTTGACTGTTTCAGATGCATCGTACGACCTCCATCACCGGCACCGATTTAAAAATACAGACTACAGCGCTCCACAAAAATCGTTGTTACTAAGAAGAATTTAAATATTTTTTAAAAATAAAAGTTGCCTTTTGAAGCTCAAATATAGTAGAATATCACCCAAAAATTTCGTCTACCGCAATCATTTCCTTCCCTTTCAAAAAACTTTATGAAAAAACGCTTTTTTTCGCCTTCTAAAGGAGACTACTGCCTTAACATAAATTACAAACAACAAGGGAGAAAATGCAATTCTCCGCAACAAAAATATACTCCTTTTGTTTTGAATGCAGCTGTGAAAGCAGTTACCAATACTAAACTTTCACTAAGAAAAGCTTCTGAAACTTTTGGTATTCCAATAACTAGGTACGCATTTTCGACACAGTAAAGATTCAGAAAAAGTGTCTTGGAAAAAAGGCCCTTCAATAGTGTTTACAGAATCGGAAGAAGAAGAGATTGTTCAGTGGGTTTCATACAGAGCAGAAAGAGGTTTTCCTGTCGGTAAAACTGAACTTCTTGATTGTGCGCAAAGTTACATTCGTAAGCTAGGAAGGAAAACTCCTTTTAAAGACGACAAACCGGGCAGGCACTGGTATGACAGTTTTCGTCAACGTCATCCCATTTTGATGGAAAGAATTCCACAACATCTTACATGTTTGAGAGCAGAAGTAACACATGAGGATCTTCAAAATTGGTTCGCAGAAATATGACAGTATTTAAAAAAAATCTATTTTATCTATTTAACTGCAACGAAACGAATATACATTGGCATTGGAAATTCCGAATCTGGCTGGATGACCATTGAAACATTTTACGAATATATCACAAATATATTTTACTCTTGGTTGCTCAAAGAAAAAGTTGAATTTCCTGTTGTTCTGTATTTGGACGGACACTCATCACACGTGACAATGCCATTGATGTCTTTTTGCAGACAAAAAGGAATAGAGTTGATCTGTTAGTATCCCCATGCAACGGCAATGGCGCGTTCCGTATAAAAATAATTAAAACAATACTTGCAACATTTATCGGTAATTGGTAGAATTAAAATAAACAATTAAAAAAATATATTAAAATCATTTGATAAAAAAAAATAACTAAAAGAAATTAAAGTATTGTATAACTAATATTGTAAACAATAATAAGTAGAGGAACTAATTTTGAAAATTTTGTTCCTCTACTTATTATTGTTTACAATATTAGATATACAATACTTTAATTTCTTTTAGTTATTTTTTTTTATCAAATGATTTCAATATATTTTTTTAATTGTTTATTTTAATTCTACCAATTACCGATAAATGTTGCAAGTATTGTTTTAATTATTTTTGTACGGAACCCGCCATTGCAGTGCGAGTTCAACTCGCACTTGTCCAATTTATTTTTAAATTTTTGTAAAAAATTTTTAAAAAATCTAAGAAAAAAAATTTTAAATTAAAATTTTATTTTTTAGATTTTTCAATATATTTTTTGTGATCAGACTGTAAAAATATACTAATAAACCCATTTTTAGTTAATTAGATCAAATAATGTCAAAAATAAAAAAAAAAAATTTTTCAAAATTTTTTTTTTTTTTTTTTTCAAAAAAAATTTTTTCAAAATTTTTTTAGTTTTTCCCTGACAACGCTATGGCCATCACCTCCAATCACATTCTCTATATTTTTCCTGTAATCTACGTGTGAAAATACGAATCTGTACCAAATGTGAGCTTTCTAGGTCAAATAGTAGTGGATGATAATTGTCTGACGGTAAAAGTAAGTCTATTGCTAACGTAACATTAAATTCATTAGGATTGCAAAAAACCAGATCCAAAAGAAATCCATGTGAATTATAATTTTTATTGATCTGTGACAAACCTATAAAATCAATTGTATCCGATAATGAAGACGCGATCAAAAATTGCTGATTAGGTAAATTATGAATGAACGCACTAGATAAATTATTATCAAAATCAAAATTCCAAGAAATAAACGGTAAGTTAAAATCTCCTAGAATGCATATCAAAGAAGTTGAAAACCAATTATATATATCTTCCAGAATGTTGCATACAGTAGTATAAGAAGCAAGCATTGAATAAGTGGTATATAGAAACATCCTATAATACGAAAAGCCTTATCAAATTTTAATTTACCGACAGATTAGCTCGGTCGGATAAATGCCTGGGTCGGTGGGCGGACCAAGGGTACTTGGTTCGCGCCCATTAGCCTGGGATTTTTCCGGCACGTGAGATAATCTGAGCGGGAGGTTTGACGTCGAGGTATAATGATGTGCACTGTCGATTATTGTCCAGTACACACCGTTAAAACTCGGCTGTCGATAAACCGGTTGTACTCAGAAGAGGTTTTCTACAGTTTCCCTCTTCTCTGGCGAGAAAACCCATTGACGGGTGGTCCAGGCAAATGCGAGTACTCCTAACCTCAAAAAGTCGTTCTGTAGAAACGCAAAAAGTAGTTGGTATATAAGAGTGTGTGTTCTGACAGTTGGCCTAGCTTCAAGTCATTTAAGAAAAAAAAAAAAAAAAAAAAATTTTAATTTTACAAAAATATGTTCAACCGCACCAGATATAGTTTGAAAACAAGTGTTCTTTAAATTACACTTAACAGTCAGAAGAACACCTCTACCATAGCCATACGTTCAGTTAAATCAGTGACCTTACCTTCAGTGATTGTCAACCTAGTCAAACTATCATTGAGTTTTGAATTAACCTCCTGAAATTATGTGGTCATTACTGATTTCAAATCATGAATAGCTTTCATAGATTCCATGAACATATTTTTAATAGTTTCCATATCAGCTGGGGGACAAGTAGCAGAAGACGGAGATAATGATCTTGGTTTACAACATCTGGAAAAAGATCCATCCGAAAGACTACCCTGGTTAAAAAACCGGATAGATTTCGGACTAATCCGAAATTTGTCCGAAACAATGCAGTTTATGGTCAGGTTTTTGTCACCCGAAATTAATCCGAAAAATTCCGAACTCTATACGGTTTGTGAACAACTAGTAAAACCGGAGTTAGTCCGATGAAGTCCAAAATTATATTAATCAGTTAATTTTAACTAGTGAATCCGGAATTAGTCCAAAACAGTCAAAAATTAATCCAGACAATTTAGTGAATGTTAATAAAAAAATAATTATACAAGTTACACATATTAATTATTATTACTTTATGCTACATTCAACATATTTTCGATATACCTATTGCAATTTTATTTACATTAACTTAAAATTTCTAACGCTTGGGGATTCGAACCTACACCTATCTAACATTATATCGCACCGAAATCGAATACACTAACCACTATACCACGCTCGCATGGGAGTTCAAATTCATAATAGAATTTATGAAGTGTCTTGAAAAGAAATGACAAGAAACTAACATATCAGTGTTAATTAACAATATTAAAGTCCGTATTCCGTTTGCATATATATATTTTGTCTGTTCGCATTTAGTATGTCTGTTCGCTTTTAGTATGTCTGTTCGCCGTTAGAGGGAGCAAAACGCCCCCCGCTGCGAGGGCTACTAGGAATTGAGTCCCGAGCAACCTTCACAGCGGGGGTCGCTTGGACCCTCAAACCCTCATTAGGAAAAACTGCTAATGACTTTTTCTATAAAATATAAATTTTTTAAATTGTAACATTTTTTATTTTTTATTAACATATTTAAATTCCTTACTTTCTCACGATTTTATACATATGTTGTTTACCAAAAAAATGTTAAAATTTAACCCTTTAACGACGAGATGTGCTACTTTTCAACATGAAATTCAATCTCTTACAATTAGTAGAAAAAAGCCATAAAAGTTTTTAAAAGTCCATACCCTACTATTTTTGGGGTCGCTCTTTCGAATGGTGTGGTCAAAATTTTCAAAAAATGATATTTAACCCTTCTTTTTTCAAAAATACTAAAAAAAGTCAAGTTTTTTTAATGTAATTTTTTTCAAAAGAATTTTTTTCTGTGTCTTAACGCTTTTCAAATAGAACAAAAAGTATCAAAAACGTGTTCCCGATAGTTGTACTTGAAAAATATTCATTTCTAAATTTTATTTTTTTCGATTTTGAATTTAAAATGGCGCTTGAAGGACAAAAATTTTTCTTATTTTACGTAAGATGACAAACTTTTTCAAAATTGCTCAAATCTGATTGAAATTTGTTACTCAGGGGTTTTCGTGGTCGCTGATTACGAATTTGAAGTCTGATTTCAAAAATTCAAAATGGCGGATCCAATATGGCGGATGACTTTTTTAAAAAATTGATCGAATTCGTTTGAAACTCGTTACTCGGGGGTTATCGGGGTCGCTGGTTACGAATCCGATGTCAGTTTTTCAAAATTCAAAATGGCGGATCTAATATGGCGGACGAAATACAAAAATTGTTCAGATTTGCTTGAATCTTGTTACTCGGGGGTTTTTGGGGTAGCTGATTACGAATTTGATATCAGATTTTCAAAATTCAAAATGGCGGATCCAATATGACAGATGACTTTTTTAAAAATTGATTGGATTCGCTTAAAATTTGTTACTCTGCGGTTTTTGGGTTCGATAATGACGAATCTGACGTTAGATTAAAAAAATTCAATATGCCGGATCCAGAATGGCGGACGAATTTTTCAAAATATCTCAAACCTGATTGAAAAACGTTACTCGTGGGTTTTTGGAGTTGCTGGTTGCGAATCCGATGTTAGTTTTTCAAAATTCAAAATGGTGGAATCGATAAGGCAGACGAGGTGTAAAAAATATCCTTACCAATTCTTATAGCTATTTTATACCAAGCATTTTGAATTTTTAAAAACGAACATCGGATTCGCAATCAGTGGACCCGAAAACCCTAGAGTAACAACATTCAAGTGAATCCGACTAATTTTTTAATTTCGTCTGCCATATTCGTTCCGCCATTTTGAATTTTGAAAAACTAACATCGATTTTCTCGTACTATAGATCACTTTTAGATTTTCCTGTCACATATTGTGAAATATAGATAAGTTGATACTGGTAGAGTCAGAGCAGAAAGAGTATAATAATTCCGCCATTTTGAATTTTTGGAATGTGACTTCATATTCGTAATCAGCCACCCTAAAAATACCACACTAACAAATTTCAAGCAAACCTGAGTAAATTAAAAAAATTAGTCTTTCATTATACTTTGGCCACTTTGAATTTGTTGAATCTAACGTCAGATTCGTCATTATCGAACCAAAAACCGCAGAGTAACAAATTTCAAGCGAATCCAATCAATTTTTAAAAAAGTCATCTGTCGTATTGGATCTGCCATTTTGAATTTTGAAAATCTGATATCAAATTCGTAATCAGCTACCCTAAAAACCCCCGAGTAACAAGATTCAAGCAAATCTGAACAATTTTTGTATTTCGTCCGCCATATTAGATCCGCCATTTTGAATTTTTAAAAACTAACATCGGATTTGTAATCAGGGACCCCGAAAACCCCCGAGTAACGAGTTTCAAGCGAATCCGATTAATTTTTTAAAAAGTCATCCGCCATATTGGATCCGCCATTTTGAATTTTTGAAATCAGACTTCAAATTCGTAATCAGCGACCACGAAAACCCCTGAGTAACAAATTTCAATCAGATTTGAGCAATTTTGAAAAAGTTTGTCATCTTACGTAAAATAAGAAAAATTTTTTGTCCTTCAAGCGCCATTTTAAATTCAAAATCGAAAAAAATAAAATTTAGAAATGAATATTTTTCAAGTACAACTATCGGGAACACGTTTTTGATACTTTTTGTTCTATTTGAAAAGCGTTAAGACACAGAAAAAAATTCTTTTGAAAAAAATTACATTAAAAAAACTTGACTTTTTTTAGTATTTTTGAAAAAAGAAGGGTTAAATATCATTTTTTGAAAATTTTGACCACACCATTCGAAAGAGCGACCCCAAAAATAGTAGGGTATGGACTTTTAAAAACTTTTATGGCTTTTTTCTACTAATTGTAAGAGATTGAATTTCATGTTGAAAAGTAGCACATCTCGTCGTTAAAGGGTTA